AGGTGGCAGGGCAGGGCTGGGAGGGGGGCACAGAGAGGCTTGGTCGACGTAGGGGAGGGGGGCAGCTCGAGGGGCTGGTGTTAGGAGTCTCCATCCCCACTACCTAAGTAGTCCTTTTGGAGGATGGATGCAGCTGTAATAATGGCAAGTTTTCACGTTGCCACAGTACTTGACAATTTACAAAGCATCCCACAGATATCATGTCATTTATTTTGACTGGCAAACACCTGGAGAAGAAAGGATTGCTCTTCCAATTTTCCAGATTAGAAGAATTGTCTCAGAAAGCAAATTCTGAGACAATTGGTATGTTCAGGCTCAAACCTGTGTCTTTGGACTCCAGGTGGAATATTGTTTCCAGTTTTTTTGTTTTTTGTTTTTTTTACAATCAGTATCCAGGCTTGGAGTTCATTTATCTCTTTTAAAAAAATTTAATTATGGGTGCCTAATAGTTGTGTATATCTTTATAGATAGTTGTGATGTTTAGAACTGTATGTAGGTTTCTCAAAAGATTAAAACTAGACCTACCATATGACCTAGCAATCCCACTCTTGGGTATATAGCCAAAGGAGGGAAATTCAATATATCAAAACTATATCTGCACTCCCATGTTTACTGAACTTTCCCAATTTTTAGGTGCTGAGGAACTAATAGAAAATTTAGAAAACATTGTCCAGGCCCAACAAAACACATCTGTGGGCTATGGTTGGCTTGTAGGTTGTCAGTGTGTGATTTCAGTTCAAGGGCTTTGATAGACCAAGTGTTTTTGAAAGAAGAGAGTATTTGGAATGGTCTGCTAGGGCCAGGGGTAAAAATAGTTAGCACTTCTATTCATATATTTTTAAATTTTATCCTTTAAAAAATTCTACTTTTTGTGAATGCTATATCATATACATAACTGATTCCTACATACCATGCACATATCATAGACATTTAAATAGGCATTATATATATATACACACATACATATATATAGGGAATAAATGGTCAAAGTACTTTTTTGATAGGGATGTGGATCAGAAAAGGTTGAAGACCCCTGGGATAGCCTTTGAAAAGTGCATAATTGTACATCCTCTGCCTGATATACACGGGCCTGAAGCTGTGCTCTCCAGCTCAGTGCTCAGGGGGCTTCAGGGAATGTGAGCGTGGGTAGAGTGTTGGTAGCAACGTTGACTCAGCCCTAACCATACCCCATTCTTTCTACCAGAGCACTGTCCTACGAGTGAGAACTGCGGACACTAATGAGTGACAGAAGAAACAACTGGGTGATGGGGCCAGTTCAGGGAGGACCCACATTTTGACCACCATGGCCAAGGCCGTGGGCTGTTATGGTCATGATTGTTTTTGTTTCTTATCATACTGAGATAGGCTGGTGAGAATATAGCTGTGCTGGGGAAGGGAAGACTGAGAAGTAGTTTAAGTGTCAGGAAGGTTATTGTATGAAGGCAGGAGACTAGCCACACTGAACTCCCCTGAAAACAGAACATGAAGAGACGGATGTAAACCACTAGCAGGGAGACTAGGGTTACAGTCACAGAAGACCTATCTGAGAGTGACTTTCATCTGAGTCCTGTCCTCAAGCCTGTCTCAGGTGACATGGTCTCCTGGAAAGAGGATTAGATAGGAGACCAGCGCTCTAGTCCTGTAGAGACCTTTTGGCTTGGCGTGCTTAGGCAATGCCAGGTTTGTCCTTTTCTGGGTCTCATTTTCCTCTCTGGGGTAAGGGCATAGCCTGTGGTCTCTGAGCTTCTTCCTTCTGCTCCGACCACTAGTTTTATGCTGCGTCTAAGTGTTGGAATGCAGATACGCTCGAGTGTTTTCCTGGGCCAGGGCCAGTTGTCTCTAAACCAGGTCCATGTCTCACTGCTATAGCACACAAATCTCAAAATGTAGAATGGCTCATTCATGATAGAAATTTATTTCTTGTTTGCAAAAAGTATAAAATGTGTTTCCCTGATTGGCGGGCATTTTCCTCCAAGGGGTGACATGGGGATCCAGGATCTTTCCACAGAGAGGTTCTGTCACCTTTGATACTTGGCTCCAAGGTGACCATGCTCACCTCCTTCAAGCTGGTGGAGAGGATTAAAAGCATGGGCAGCTGAGTCTAGGAGATTGAGTGGGCCATCTAGGAAGGCCGTGCATTCATTCTGTTCAAAGGCTATTGGCTAGAAACCAATAGGATTGATTTCCATACAAACGCCTAACTTAAGGCAGGCTGGGAAATGCAGTTTAGTTGTAGGCCCAGGAGAAAGAAGAAATGGATTTGGCCAATAGGAGCCAATCTGTGCCACAGAAAGGAGAGTTTAAAAGAGAAAGAAAGGATTACGTGGATTGAAGAAGAGTACCACTGAGGTAATGTTAATTATCTTTCTCTTTCTGAAGAGCCCAGGGTAGTCCTCAGCTGTTGAAGAATGGTAGGGCTGGGCTTAAGAAAATTTCCTGACCACAGGGGGAAGCCCTGGGCTAAGGCACAAGACATTTTAGATTCTAGTTTGGGCTTTTCTCCACCTGGCTAGGGACTGAATTTAATTTACTTGACTCTTAGGCTTCAGTTTCTTCATTTGTCAATGGCAACTGAAACACATACCCTAACTACCCTGCGGGATTGTTTTCAGAGTTAAGTATAGCAATGTGATGCACATTTTGGAAAAAACAAAAGAATGATTAAAATAGAGAATGAGCTTACACTGCAGGTAGAGAAAATTGTGTTAGATAAGAAAAGACCCAGTTTTCCCCACAGTAACAAGGCAAATTTTTAGGGAACGTGTGAATGATTTCAAGAAATCAGTGTGAAATGATTTTGAGAACAGTAGGAAGAGAACTCACACTTGAGGATAGCTTGGGCAGTTGGTGCATGAGACATGGCTTCTGGGTCTGGCTCTATACGTAAATTGTTATTTGACCTTGCATGGGGGAGTTGGGTTCCCTCTCTGGGCTTCAGTTTCCCCCTTGCAAAACAAAAAGATTGAACTACATAAATTTTTTTGCTAAAGTATCTTTCTCAAACGGTATGCTTCTGATTGTGTGTTCAATCCTGTCTGCATGCAGGGATCTGGAGGGCTTTAATCATTTATGCTGATGGCCACAGTGTTGACTGATGGGTTCCAACACATCCAAAGTGTCCAGGGTTCACTTTCCCCCCCAGGAGTATCTTGGGAGTCTAGAGTTCTGTGAACACCCTTTGGGAACTGCTGAGCTATACTAATATCCTCACTGACTCTATAGATACCTCTAGTATTCCTCTGTCCTCCTTGTCCCACACTCCACCTTCCCCATCTGGACTCCATCTACCCACCCATCCATCCACTGAGTGCCTACCGTGTCCCAGGCCCCACACAAGGTGTTTTCCCCTGCGTCATCGTGTTTGTTCTTGCCACATCCCATTTTATGGATGAGGAAGCAGAGGTCAGTAAGTCCTTGAAACTGGGCAGCGAACGGGCTGGGATTAAAACCCAAATTTCCCAATCCAGATTCACTGATCTCTTTCTTCTATTCTTCAGGCTTTTGTCCTCTAGTTGCTTTCTCGTGTTCTATCCGTTTGTCGAAATCCCAACTCAAACTTTGTTTCCTGCAGAAAGTCCTATTCCCTTTCTCCCTCCCTGCCCTGTGCTCAGGCATCCCTCCTTCTCCTGAACTCCCCTCAAACCATCTTTACCAGAACGTGGCATCCACGTCGGCAGATTGATGGCTAAGAAATGTATGAGTGAGTGTGTGTGTCTTGCATCTCAAGTGGCAGGAAAGAGGGCTACTAATAGACTCATTTTATAAATGAGGAAATTGATACCCAGTGAGGCTCAGACACTTGCCCAAAGTCACAGAGCAAGCCAGTGATGAAGCCAGGATCCGAATCTAAGTCATCTGGCTTCGAGATCCACTCTCCTTCCACTGCTCTATGCTGCCTCTACCTAGTTGAACCCCTTGTTCCATAGCTGAGGACACTGAGGCCCAGGGAGGGCAGGGGCTAGCCTCAAATCACACAGCCGTGAGCAGCAGTGCTAAGACAGCCTGGAAAGGCTCACATCTGGGGACCTTTCTTCCCGGGAAGTCTGCCTCCCCAGGTTGAATGCAGGTCCCAGATGCTGTTGCCAGGCAGCTCCTGCTACCCGGATGCTGTGGAAGTTGTTATGATAGCTCCAGAGACAGCAGGAGCCTGGTGGCCGCTCCCTGGGGATCAGCCAAGGAAAGTCAGCCCACTAGCCTGCAGACCCAGCACCTAAAATAACCCAGGCAGCAGCCCCAGTGGAAACCAGGCAGCAAGCCCAAAAGAGACGCCATAACCTTCCGACAGCTCAGGGCCAGATGCGGCTTTCACCTCCCAGTTTCCTGGTACAGCGCCTCGCATGGCATAGGTGTACCTAGAGGCTGGGGCTTCTTCCTTTTGTTTTAAAGAAAAGAAGCTCCCGTCACTCTAGTCCTGGGATTTGGGGCTGGCAGGAATTGCGGGAGCTAAGATCCAGGACACTCTTGGATCATGATGTAGAGGTGCGAGGAATAGTTTTCGGACTGCCAGTTTTTAGATTTGAATGCTCATCAGACTCTCTAGAAGAGCTTTCAAAAATGATCCAGGTTTCATCTCGGACCTACAGAAGGACAGGGCCTGGGAATTGGTATTTGAACGTGTTCTCCAGGTGAGTCTATTCGATGGTGATCCACCATCCCAAACAGCCCCTTCATGGCTCCATCTATTTTCTGGGAGACCTCTTAATCTCCATCTCCCATCTTCAACTTTCGCTTAGTAGCTGATTTTTTTTTTCACTTGGTAAATTTAAATTCTAAATTGGCCATGTCTGTAGCAATGTGGGTTGGTGTGATAAAAACACTTAATAGAAACGGTTTCTGGTATTTTTTTCTAAATGGCAATTTTAAGTTTTGCCTTTAAATTGAAGTTTAGGAGGGTGCTGTCCTGCAAGAGGAATACGTCCCTTGAGGAGTCAGTTCTGCAGAATGCGGTTGCTTAGGAGGTCTGTCTCCAAGGCCCTTTGTTCCCACGGCAGTAGTTGAAAGTGAGAGGTTGCTGGGGTAACAGCAGCTGCCCAGAGACGGGCTATTGTACTTAGATTTCTCGGAGCAACCTCCCCAGCAGCTGGAAATACCTGTTGAAAGAGGAGAGTTTCTTTTCTTCTTGTTTAAGAAGGGTTTGAAAAGTTACTTTTCTCTGGCTTGAAGAGTCAGGGATTTGTGTTAGGTGTAGAGGTGGCTGCTCCTTTCTCCTCCTACCCAAGGTGAAGTAAGAAAACTCAGATGGAACCTTGGACAAGGCTGTCCCTTCAGCAAGCCGAAGCACATCTAAGGAGAAAAGAGCCACACTTGCCACTGGGAGACTCTGGACAGGTGTTGGCATCAAGCTGATCCGAACCCCTGGCTCAAGTCTAGATGCGCATCCTTACCTGGGGAGGACGTGCTGTCATCGCAGGGATTCCAGGGAGGTCGTTAACACCACCTTAGTGGAACGAGCGTGGGATTCCACTCTGCACCTGCTCACTGCAACGACAGGGAAAGGAAAGGAAAAAGGAGACAGGGCTAGTTTTAGTTGAATACCTACCATGAGTCAGAGCTGGGTGTTGTTGGGAAATAAAAGTCACTAAGATTTTGTGCTTGCAAGGATTTTGCTGTCCAGGGGCAAGCAAGGGGTGAGGGGTGGCGAGCGGTGGTGATTTTATTTGCTGGCTGGATTGCTGTGACCGACAGATGCTGTCTGCCATGGGTGTGTATGTGTTTGCGGGCAGGACGGTGGATGTCATTTGCTATGTCTGGATCTAAACAAACAATACCAGGATTCCCCCTGCTCCAGAGAGCTGTGCACGGTGCCCTGTGGATGGCACAGGGGAGACTTTCAAAAACAGTGATGTCGACACTGCCCCAGGATGGATGAGGTCTCAAAGGAGGCAAGATGGGAGTCTGGGTAGGGGCATGGTAGGACGAAGTAGTGAGTTCCAGTGTGCACTCAGAGAAATTTCCCTTTCGTATCCTTTCTCAGAGTTCTGGGGACAGTACTATGCCTTGACAATATCACCAAGTGGACCAAGATTTTGGGGGGTAAGTTCCCCTTTTCAAATTCTTTGCCCTTTTAAAAATTTCTTCCATAGTGTCCCTGTGTCTTTGAACAGGTCCCTTTTCCTCAGGGAGGAAAACCGTCAGACAAACCATTTATACGGCTGATTTAAACCACTCTAGGAAGGCTTCTATTTAAAAGGAAGAGCCATGAGTTAGTTTGCTTATATTAATAAGCTTGATTAAATGATTCTACATTGTATTTGTAAATCATAACATCACTTTGCACCCCATAAATATGTATAATTATAAACTGACAATTGACAATAAAATAAAAATAAGAAACAAAAGGAAGAGCCAAGAGGGACAGCAGTGCTTAACCCCACACTCTGGATGGTGGCGATCCAGACCACACGTGCCTGGGTGGGGAGACTCCTCAGGCCAGGGGCAGGTAAGCCCCTCCTGTAACGGGCCAGCCAGAAACCCGTCCAGCTTTGCGGGGCACGCAGCCTCTGCTGCTGCTGCTCAGCTCTGCTGCTGGACTCCAAGAGCAGCCACAGAAAATCCCAATATGGCCGTGGCAGTGTTCTGATAAACCTTTATTTACAGACACTGAGACTGGAATTTTATGTGTTTCACGTGTCATAAAATATCATTTTTCTTTGCATTTTTTTTCTGGCCATTTAACATGTAAAAAATATTCTTAGCTGTGTACCATACAAGAGATTTGGCCACGGGCCTTAGCTTATTAACCCTTGCCTTCCCTCGCCTCTCCTGTCAACAATCTAAGATGAGTTGTGCTGTCTCTGCGTGAGGTCACTCTGCTCAGAGATTCTCTTTGGCCTGGAAGTTCATCCGTGTCTTCAGTCAGATGCTTACTGGGGGCTGACCGTGTGGTCGGGCTGCTCCAGGCACTGGGGACTTCAGAAGTGAACGAGGCAAGTGCCTGTCCCCAGAGAGCTTCTGCTCCCCGGGCCATGGCAGGGAGATTTAGGGACTGCAGGCAAGATTTGGGCATTGGTCTCGGTCCTTGCTTCCCTGGACTTGGGTCTCTCTTAGCCAGGCTTAGACTCCAGGCTTATTTGCGGCGCTGAGCTGTGGAGCCTAAACACGGGTTCCCCGGTTATCAGCCGCAGGGGAGCTGCGAGGCATGCTTGGAACTAATGCCCTGGGATAACTTTAGTGCTCTGAATTTCCAGCTCAAAGTCCAGCCAAAAAATAAAAATGAATAAAATAGCATAAACCCCAAGACCTTTAGGGCTCAGTGTACTCTGGCAAAGCGTTCCAGTGGGATTCTGGGATGGTTTTCAAGAGCCGTGGCTTCTCTCGGACTTTCCCATGGCCCATTCCAAGTCAACCACTGATCAGCAGATGTCCCCCAGGACGGGGTCACGGCAGAGCCCATTGCAACAGCAGCTACTGCTGCTGCCAGGGCCAGAGGTCAGTGCTCACGTGGCCTCTGGCAGTGGCCCCGCTTCTCGGGCTCTCACCATTCCCAGGCAGGTGATTGAGATGCCTCGTGGATTCCCGCTTGAGACCAAGCACTCCCTCCATGATGCAGGGAACAGATATGGCTGCCCTGAGACAGAACAGTGGGAAATTGCTCCCAGCCTGGGAGCCCTCACCATTTTCAGGCAGTTGCTCCATATCCAGCTGTTCCGTTGCATGCCACGGGGTGGGGAATTGAGCCTAGAGAGAAGAGAACAGAAAGATAAGGGAGATGGTATGGTCTCTGCTCCCAAGTTCTGCATCGCCTGGTCAGGTGGAAACTTACGTGAAGTTGTCAGGGCATCTCAGCCAGGACGGGCTCTCAGGACACTGGGGTGGAGGGTGTGGAAGTGAGGAGGGAGAGGAGGGCATGCCCTTGGCCTGCTGGTTTTCATTAGAAACCTCCTCCATCTGCCACCTTGCCCCCAGCCAGACTTCTTTTAGCAACTCCTCGTGTGCATGGGTCGATATTTTTATGTCTGGATCATAAATATAACAAATTACACATTCATCCATTCAAAAATATTTGTTGAATGCTCACTATATACTAAACACAATGCTGGGGATAAAAAGTGGTGAAATAGACCCAGAATACAGGTCCTAGAAGGTGCTTTCATGACCATTTCTACTCTCTCTTTTTCTGGTTGAAGATTTTGAGGCTCAAAGTGACTTATTTAAGTGACACAATTGAGGGCAGAGCCAGGGACCTCAACCTATGTGAGACCAGGCTTCCTCACAACCAGACAGCAGAAATTGTATTTTTGTACATATGTTTAGGATTTAAAATGTACAGAGTATGTCCGTCTCCATCTCCATTGTAGGAGGGGCAGGCACAATTGTTATTAATATTATCCTTATAATTATGAATAGCTTCCACGTGGTTATTTATTTTCAAGATGCATACCTTGAGGCTCAGGAGGTTAAGTACTTGAATAAAGGTCACATGGCTGGAGGTGGCAGAGCTGGGAGAAGGATGTGCATCTTCTGACTCCTAATTACCCACGACCCAAATATTATCAGCCACTCACCCTCCTCTCTCCTCTATGGCTCCCTGGCATCCTGTGGTCAGAGAGGAGGGGAAGACACCCCAGACCATCTCAGTTGTGTGCTGCAGTACTGTCAGAATGCAGGGAAGAGGCAGAAACTCACAGGCCATTAGGGGAGGAGCAAAGGAAATTTAGGAAAGATAAGCTGTTGTGGGGAGAGAGATGATGGGTACTGGTGAGATTTGAGAAGAAAGTGGCATAAGAAAGGTCAGGTCAGAAAGAAAGAACCATGGCCATAATTTTGACATCCTTCAACATAGAAACTGACATACCTAGTGTGGATCAAAACTAGACATCGAAGTAAGGGAGGTGTCGGTACACAGTGCAATCTGGACGGTGATAATCAGGGCATTATAACCTCTGATCTGATGACCCAGGGCCCAGCGATCCAGAGTGCTGGACTGCCCTGCTTCTTCCTGCACTCACGCCTCTGGCTGGCAAAATTTTTCTGGCCTTCTCACCAGGTGAAATTTCCCAGTGGGACTAGACTCAGCGGCCATATGGCGTGCTCCCAGCCTTCCATGTGGGCAGGTGCAGTTCTGCACTGAGGAGAGTTGGTGAAAGAGAAGGACAAAACCTCAGTCTCTCTTGATTGTCTTTTAAATGACCTCTTTCAGGTTTTGGGAAATCCCTGCAGTGTGACACAGAATTTCCAGAACTGGCTCTACTTGTAACCCATCCTTTAAGGCATCAGGGTTTTTCCGATCCCATTTTCTACCAACCAATTGGTGACTATGAAATGAGCAACTTCTATGTAACCATTTGCAGATCAGCTGCGTTGGGGGATATGGAAAGAACTTACGTTGGGGACTTTTTAACTAGCTTATGAGTCCCTTGGATCAAGACTAATGCCATGGCTAAGTGTAATTACTCATGTATTTGCTTGGTAGTCTACTGGGGCTCTGGAAATTCATCATCACCTTGTCCAGCAGCTTGGTGCTGTGTAGAGAGATTATGCCTTATTCATCTATTTGACAAATATTTATTGAACATATACTATCTGCTAGGTATAGTAATGAAATGGTGGTCTAAGTATTCATGGCTTCTAACCTCAGAGAGCTCACGTGTAGTGAGGGGAGAGGCAGCAGCCATGAGCAGAATAACTCATTTATGAGCAATGGCAGAAAGGGAGCGTAGAGGGTGTGAGCAATGCAATGGCAGTTGGGGCCATGGGGACCCTGATATTACAGTAGGGTGGGGAAGGGGAAGGCCCTGAAGTATGATGGGGACAGAAGCTTGACAATGATTAACCCTGGAGGACATGAGGGTAAGAAGAAGGGAGAAAGAACATTCTGGAAGAGAGACAAAACTACCCCCAAACTTAATGGTTAGGACAGAAACCTATTATTATTTCTCACAGCTCCATCGATTGATTGGGCCCTGCTGGGTGTCCGTTCTCGCTGGGGTCTCCCATGCAGCTGTAGTCAGATAGCTGTTGGGGCTGGAGTCATCCAAAGGCTTGATTTGGCTGGATGTCAATGATGGTGCCTCATGTGTCTGGCGGTGGGTTAGGCTGGCTGGAGTTGCGGTTGGCTATCCAGCTATCCAGTGATCTCTCTCCATGTGGCTTCTGCACATGGCTGGTTTGGGCCTCTTAGTAGCATGGAGGCCTCAGCATGGCTGGACTTCTTACGTGGAGCCTGCCTTTCTCCACAGTGGGCAGGAAGGAGGAAACTGCCTGTTTTTTTGAAGACTAGACCTAGACAGGCCTAGAGTCACTTCTGCAGGATCCTGTGGGTCAAAGCAGTCACGGGCCAGCTCAGAGTCCAGGACATGGGTAATTAGACTCCCTTTCTCAAAGGGAGAATGGTTGGTACATTTGGGAAGGGAAGGAGTTGATGGTGGCTGTCTTGGAGTTGAGATAAGGCTCTGAGATAGGAAAGGCTCGGTGTGTTCAAGGACCAGGAAGCCAGCCAGTGTTGCTGGAGTGTCACAAAGGCAGCACAAGATGAAGCAGGAGCCACAGGAAGAGTGGGGTCCTTGTAGGTAAAGGGTCTCAGGGAATTTAGATTTTTTTTTTTTGAGACGGGGTTTTGCTCTGTTGCCCAGGCTGAAGTGCAGTGGTGTCATTATAGCTCACTGCAGCCTCGAACTCTTGAGCTCAGGTAATCCTCCTGCCTCTGCCTCCCAAGTAGCTGGGACTACAGATGCGTATCACCACCTGGCTAATTTTTTAAATTTAAATTTTAAATTTTTTGTAGAGAAGGTGTCCTGTTATGTTGCCCAGGCTGGTCTTGAACTCCTGGCCTTGGCCTCTCAAAGTCCTGCGATTACAGGTGTGAATCACTGTGCCTTGTTTATATTTTTTTAAGTGTCACAAAAGCCTCAGGTGTCCTTCTTTCCAAGGGCTGATAATCATAAGGTGTCTCCGTTCTTTCTCCGTCCATCCATCCCCACCTGCTGTTGGTGAGTCATCCTGGCCCATGTGCTCTTCAGACTTTCAAACTTCAGTGTGTCCCCATCACCTCCTGCACCTGGCACAGGCATCCCAGGCTGGCTTTTAGGGCCCTCTACTTAGCTGTGCATTACACATTTTTATCACCTTTTTACTTAACCTGCCAAATTGAACCTCTGTGTCTCCCTGCCTCCCTGCCCGGTCACGCCGGTCACTTTGCCCTCCTGAGACCCCATCTCTAGCTGTCCTTTAAAAACTTACCTCCAACGTCACTTCCTCAGACTGAGCATGTCCCTTTGCTCCTCAGGGATCTGGTGCTTCCTGGGTCAAAGCAGAACCGAGGCTCCATGGCTTTGGAAGGTGCAGTTCCCCCTGGACGTGTCTCGCTTTCGTGGACCCCTGTCCAGTGACGCCAGGTCCTCCAGGACGGAAGACGCGCAGCCTTGCTTTTCCTGCCCCACAGCTCCACGTCTCCCACCCAGCAGTCGTTCAGTTGATGCCTGTTGAATTAAACAGCGGTTTCTCTGGGCTACCTCAGCCTCCGATTGTCCCTGTTCTTTCCCAGGAATATCACAGCATCCAGCTTCCAGCAGCTCCTGGTCCGTGGCCCTGAGGTTCCCGGCAGGCCTTTCCCGCAGGATCAGGGAGCGGCTGTTCCCAGAAGGCCCGGACTGCACGGCCGGAGCCGGGTCCCAGGGAGACGGAGCGCTGATTCCGCAGGCCCCCTGGCTCCCCGCTTCCCAGCTGCCTTGCACTTGTTTTCCTTGGCAGGAGGAAGCCCTCAGCCACCACTTCATCTTCCATTTATAGGCATATATTCATCTTTGTTATTCTTTTCACAAAATGACAGTGTTCTCAGCTCGGAAAAGGAGAGAAAGAGAGTCGAGAGCCATGCAAAGCAAGGAAGGCATTTTGTCTGCGGCCTCGGGGCTTCCTGCAGCATTTCTGTCCATGTTGGAGGATGGAGGACTTCCTGCCTGCCTCTACTGCCCCTCACCTGTGTCTCAGCCTGTCCCACCAGCTCCTCACACTCTGCCCATGGGCTCCCGTGGGTGCGGGGAAGGCCAGGGCCGGGGCCGGGGCTGTGGCCAGACTCTTGATATCTGCACAGGAAAAGGGGCGTGGCTCCCTTGCTTGAGTCCATGTCTACATGGTCCTTGGGTCCTTTATCTGACACCCAAATACTCTGAGGTCAAGGGCTAAGCTCTGTGAGCTCTAATTTGTCCGGTGGTCAAGCTATACTTGATTGCAAAAAGGACTAACGACATTTATGTAGTGCTATGTCTATGCCAGCCAGTGTTTTAAGCAGTTTGTAAATAGGAAGTCATGTAATCCTCACAATAACCCTATGAAGTCGTGCTGTTATTATCCCCATTTTACAGGAAGGGAACTGAGGCAGAGAGGTTAAGTCACGTTCCCTTGGTCATACCAAGGGTTAGTGGCAGAGCTGGGATCTGAGCCCAGAGTCTTTAACCACTCACCATGCTTCCTTCATTGTTCATCAAATTAAGACATTTAAATGACCTAACGGGGTCACTTAGTCCTTCTCACATATCTAAGTGCACTGCAAGTGACAGAGTGTCTGAGGGTTGTGGGAAAGAGCCTGCACAATCCTGAACCAGTTCTCGGCACGGGTAATTCAATTTGCTTCAAATTCTGACTTTCCCACAGATCTATGATTCTCAGTCTAGCTTTTTGCACCTATTTGGAAGGGTCAATTGGCAAAGGGACTTATTGGTGTATCCAAGAGCAACCTGCTTCTCTTGGCTCCAATTGATGGCTTGGAAATTCACTAAATAACCAATTAAGTCTTTTTCTTCTCTCCTTCCTTTATTTATCAAGCTTTGATCCTGTGCCTTGTGTGTGTTCCAGACACCATATAGGCACAAGGAAGATAGGTGGAGAAAAGGAAAACTAACTAAAATAGACACAGCCTCTGCTTTCAGGTTGTGGGTGTGTGCACACACAACACTTACAAATAAACCTGGGGATCCAACTGTGTCTGCCTACGTACTCTTGTGGGTCATCTCTTAGTACTCTCTGAAGTGCCAGGTATGGTGCTTTCACTGATTTCCCGTGAATTCTCTGGAATGCTCGTGCCTAGAAGTTACCATAAGAAAGCCCACTGAAGCACAGATGTCCTTACAGGCCAGTGGATCTCCAAGCTGTCTAAACTGATAGAGCAGTGATGGTGGCTTCTTGCTTCAGGCTGTGCATGGTATTCTGTTCAGCTGAGTTTGGGGTGCAGGCTGGATTATTTTCCTAGGGCTGCTGTACAAATAATCACAAATTTACTGGCTTAAGACAACAGAAATTTATTCCCTTCCAGTTCTGGAGCCGATACCTAGTAGTCTGAAATCAAGATGGCAGCAGGGTTGGTTCCTTCTGGATGCTCTGTGGTAGCCCCTCTGCCACGCATCTCTCCCAGCTCCTGTTTGCCCCTAACACTCCTTGGCTTGTGGCTCTATCTCTTTGCAATCTGTGCTTCATCTTCACATGGCCTTCTCTCTGTGTCTCAAGTCTCTCTTGGCCTTTCTCTTACAAGTCATTGGACTTAGGGTGCACCCTAAATCTTGGAATATCTCATCCTGAGATTCTTAACTTAGTCACATCTGCAAAGACCCTATTTCCAAATAAGGTCACATTCATGCTCTTGACAGCTGCTACCAATTAGGCAGCATTGTCATAGAATATACGCTCTATTTGCATCCCTAGGGTAGTAGCCATTTATTTCTGTGTCCATGTGCACATACATGTAAGGATAAGGAACCCTTATGCTTTGCCTAGAAAGGTGTTTGCAGAGGAAGGCAAGTGTGCATATTGTATCAATTGGGGTTCCAGGATTCAATTCAAATGGTTCAAATGGAAAAAAATGAATGAAGAAAGTAATAAAGAACTACTTCAAAGGTGTAGGTAGGTTTAAAGAAATCAATAAGAAATGCTGAGGAACTTGGAGGCTAGCAATAGTGGAAAGCTTTCAATACATGTAGGCCTTAGGGAGGATTAGTGTTACCAGAATCCTAGTGAGAATTGGGGTTGTAGAGAAGAGGATATCTGGTCTTAGAGGAGAGACACTGCCAGAGATGTGGCTCAAAGTAGGCAGGGAGCAAGAAAGACATCTTACACCTCTTGTCTCCCAACTCCTGATCTGCTGATGTCTTCTGTTTGTCAAACCCAACCAGAACCAGTCGGCAAGGCTTCCCTAGTACAGAGTCCATAGACAGCCATCCTAGGAGCACCCCTGGGGGCAAGAAGGGCAGAGAGGAATCTGCAGGGAGGGCTGACCAGTGCAGGCCTGCACGTGGATTCAGAGAGCCCACTGGGACATCTGCTTCACAGAGTCATGGAACCTTGGAAGTAGGCCATCACTTAGAGATGATCTACTCTAACTTTTCATCTTCCAGATGATGACTTCTGTTCCAAAGAGGATACATGTGTGCATGGGCACCCTCGCCTGGGTGGAGTGTGGTTTTCCATCATCACCAGAAGTCCAGAAGGGCGGGTGGTGTGGCTATGAAGCACTTTAAAACCCTGGGGCTCCGAGCTTGAAGAACCTCTTTGTATCTATGGCAGATACTTGTTGGTTATTGTCCAACTTTTCATTTTCTCGTCCTCCTTCCTGAAGGTCTCCAATTTTATTTGGGAATTCAAGTGGTTTGGGGAAGACGTTTTTTTTTTTTTTGAGACAGAGTCTCGCTTTGTTGCCCAGGCTAGAGTGAGTGCCGTGGCGTCAGCCTAGCTCACAGCAACCTCAAACTCCTGGGCTCGAGTGATCCTTCTGCCTCAGCCTCCCGGGTAGCTGGGACTACAGGCATGCGCCACCATGCCCGGCTAATTTTTTATATATATATCAGTTGGCCAATTAATTTCTTTCTATTTATAGTAGAGACGGGGTCTCGCTCTTGCTCAGGCTGGTTTCGAACTCCTGACCTTGAGCAATCCGCCCGCCTCCGCCTCCCAAGAGCTAGGATTACAGGCGTGAGCCACAGCGCCCGGCCAGGGAAGACGTTTTTGCCGTTGGCTCACTGAGGGGAGCTAAGTCAAACAGCACATCCAATCTCCAGTGACTTCCTCTGGGTGGCTTAAGCTAGTCAAGTCTGAGTGAACCTCAGGACTTTTGCTGTGAATGCTGCAGCAAAGATGCTCCTACCTTCCTTCCAGATGTGATGAGGAAGGCCATGACCTTGGGGGCTCACAGTGTGGTGGTGGCTTCCATCAACATGATAGGAAAGGCAGCAAAACAGGCCAGACAGAAGCTTTTTCCAACCTAATCTGGGAGATGACATATCACCAGTCTTGTATCTCATTCACTGAAGCAAGCCACTGCCTGAATACCAGAGGCAGGAATCATCAGGAATCATCAGGAATCATCTTCTTAGAACCTGCCCACCACACCAAATCCTTGCCACTGTCGTTTGCCGCCTACCTGAGCCACAGAGCAGGCAGGGCTGGGAAGGCAGACCCCTAAGAGGCAGGTGTCTATTATACAGCTCTCTGCTCTGCCTGCCATTTGGAGAAAACACTCTTCCCCTTAAGGGAAAACAAGAGTTAGTGGCAGAAAGGACAATTTAGACCCCAGAAAGAAGCAACCACAGCACCAGTTAGTAAATACTTATTTTCCCCTCATAT